GGGGGCTGCGGGGACACTACCTGCTCTTCGACTGCCCCGGGCAGGTGGAGCTCTACACCCACCACCAGGCCCTCAAGAACGTCTTGGCCCAGCTGGCCAAGTGGAATTTCAGGGTAGGGATGGGCTGGGGGAGCCCCAGGCAGCTCCACACCCCTGGGTACAGCAGGGCTGGGGGGGCTCGGGGCTGCTGCCTTCAGGAGGTTTGTGGCCTTTAGGTGAAGTGGCTTTATAGGGAAGGAGGGGAATTTTGCCCTGTTTTATACTGAGAGAGATTGGCAAAAAATTACCTGTCAGGGCTTTTAGTGGGAACAGGAGCACAGATTCTTTCCTCATACTTTGTACAAGATCCCAGAATGGGTTGGGTTGGAGGGAACCTCAAAGCCCATCTCGTTCCAGTCCGTTCCATGGGCAGGGACACCTTCCAGAGAACCCCAGCCTGTCCCTGAGCACTCCCAGGGCTGAGCAGGAGTGTGTCCTGCTGTGCTGCAGATCCTCCCCCAGCCCGGGGGGGTTTCACCAGGGTGGGTTCTGTGTGTGCTGGGAGCCTTGGCACTGCCCTGAGGAATGCAGGGGCTGTGCCAGGCCCTGCTGCAGCCCCAGCAGAGCCCTGCAGGGCCCTGCAGCAGCCCTGGGCCGGGCTCTGGGCTCTTGCACAACGGGAGCTGCAGGTGAGAGCAGCCCGAGCTGCTGACGCTGCGCTTGCTCTGCGGCGGGGCTGCACCACCAACTGCAAACCCTGCGTGCTCTGAGCAAGAAGGGCAGCTTCATTTGCCTGGGAATGTCACTGGGAATCTGCACATTAGAGCTTATTTTCATTGGAGTGAGTGGACATGGGATTGGAGTTGCTAAAATGAGACATGTGCAGGGCTGGTTCTGCTCTGCCTGGGAGCCCCAGCCTGGCTGGGCTCTGCTGCTGTGACTCAGCCCCAGAGCCCTGACTTGGAGTGACTTCCCCAGCTCTGGGACCACATCGTTACAGCCACACAAAACCCAGGGAATCAAAGTGCTCGTTAGTGCAATTATTAATTATTAGCGCCAACCACAGGGGACTCTCCCAGCAGAAGGTGGTGAGCTGCAGGTACTGCTGCTGGCACTGGGGGGGCTTTGGCTCCGCTCTGACCCAAACCAGGATTCTCTGGTGCTGTGCAGTGGGCAGGAGGTGGGAGCTCATTCCCCAGGAGGTGCAGCCAGGCCTGGACAGGCTCTCCTGTGCTCCTTCCAGGCTGCTCCCAGCTCTGACCTCCTGTGTCCCTTATTGCCCAGCTGGCTGCCGTGCACCTGGTGGACTCCCACTACTGCACAGACCCCGGCAAGTTCATCTCCGTGCTCTGCACCTCGCTGTCCACCATGCTGCACGTGGAGCTGCCCCACGTCAACGTCCTCTCCAAGATGGACCTGATCGAGCACTACGGGAAGCTGGGTGAGGATCTGCTGACCACAGCCTGTCCTGGGGGGCAAGGGAGCTCACACCTCGCCTCTTCTGCCTCCCTTCCACATGCCAGGGGGGCTCAGAGCTCCGTTCTGGCCTTGCACATGGAATTCGAGGGGCAGGGGTGTGGAATTGGGGAGCCAGGTGCGAATCAGCTGTGTGAGAATGGGGCTGGGTGGGGACCTGTGCAGATCCCACTGTGCTCCTCAGCTGCCAGCCTGCCCTCAGAGCTCCCTGTTGCCCTGCAGCTTTCAACCTGGATTATTACACCGAGGTGCTGGACCTCTCTTACCTCGTGGACCACCTGGCCTCCGATCCCTTCTTCAGGAATTTCCGCCGCCTCAACGAGAAGCTGGTGGAGGTGATTGAGGACTACAGCCTGGTGTCCTTCGTGCCCCTCAACGTCCAGGTGAGCCAGCAGGAGGGAGCAGGGAGCCCTGCATGTGCTGCAGCTGCTTTTTGTGTGCTCAGAGCCACAGGGCTGGAAACCTGGGCTCTGAAGAGACTCAGGGAAAGCAGGAGAGCACAGCCGGATTGTAAATGATCTGTGGCAGCCAAAGGAAAGAAAAAGGCTGATGAGCTTGGGGCTACCTGGGCCTTGTGTCCTGGGGTGGGCAATCCAGGCTCCCCCTTCCTTCAGCTCTTCTGGCCTGCATTTCCAACCTGGGCTGAGGGTCACCTAAAGCTCTGTTAAATTAGGGAGCAGCGAATAATGAGAAGGGGGAGGGAGGGAGGGCTGGAAATGCCCTTAATCAGGTAGTTGGCAGAAGTGTCAGCAGGCAAATGGGCTGGGGGAAGGTGATGAAAGGGAATGAGAGGGTGGAGGGCCAGTGGCAGTGTCCCTGTTTGTGTCCCTGTTTGTCCTTGTTGGTATCCCTGTTGGTGTCCCTGTTTGTCCCTGTTGGTGTCCCTGTTTGTCCCTATTGGTGTCCC